ACCAGCCTCTGTTTCCTGAGTGATTTTGGAATTAAAGTCATCAGAAAATACACTCAGCCTGCAAATTCTTATAGGAGTCAGGAATACTTTATACTATTTCTCTCATGTGGGCTCAGTACTGTTGATCTGTTCTCTCTCTCACTCTCTTTAACCATTAATTGACATTTCTCTTGCAAGGTATATCCTACTAAAAGGATGCAGAAATTAGAGAGGTGAACCTCACTATTGAGTTTACTACTAAAAAGAGTTGGTGATTACATTACAACTTGTATGTCAGAAACTAAGTAGAAGAACCACCAGAATACATTGAAAATATTGTAAATGAAGGATACATTTCCAGTATTCTAAATATCATGCTTTCTGTTGTACATGTGTGTGGATATTTTAGACAGCATTGACCTACAATGATGTGCATGTGAATTTCACTCGAGAAGAGTGGGCTTTGCTGGATCCTTCCCAGAGGAATCTCTACAAAGATGTAATGCTGGAGACCTACAGGAACCTCACTGCTATAGGTAGGACAGTGAATTTTCTTTACTTTTTAAAATATAGGGAAAACTCTTTATTCATTATTGAAGTGCTTTTGTAATTTCTCTTGAGAATGAGGAAGAATGAGGTGAATGGTTCTTTGACTGACCCTAAGACGAGTTAAATTTTGTCTTATTTCCAATAATAAATCATACATTTTCTGTTACTCTATTTTAGGCTACAATTGGGAAGGTCATAATATGGAAAAGTATTGTCAACATTATAGAAGACATGCAAGGTAATTTTCATGTGTAAGCTAATATGAATATGGTTCTGAGAAAATTTTAATATGTTCTGGAAGTTTGAAAGAGAAGGGACAGTGTAAATGAACTGTTTTAAGTATATTTATTGATGATGACTAACTTGTTACTAAACCATGTACCTCCATGTTAGGTGTTTGATATGTGTTTACAAGGCATTCCTCTAAGAAAGAATGCAAGGAAATCATACTTACGCAAGATCAATGATTAAATTGTTTACTCATTAGCACTATGAGGTAAAACTGCAATTTGTTTACTCTCCTACAACTCAGAAATTGCCAAAGATATTCACAGTAAATAGGTGATGAAATTATATCTAAAACATTATACTAATCAACTCGTCCATAGTAAAATGGGGTTACTCATATACTTGTAATAATATACCTAAGTTTTGTGAGAAGGGCCATTTTTTAGTCAAGAATTTTGTTGTGGAAAATCCATAATCCCTATAGCATATGTCTGTGATGAACAAAAATCAAATGTGTGAATGCATCATGAAATCATGTCATTTATTATTATTCTTTTGATAGTTAGTTATATTGTCATGTATCACAATGAGTACCAGTCATTTTAATATATGTATATTGAAAGAAACAATGTACCACCCAGAACAACTAAAAGGTATAGTAGTCCTCATTTTGAGTAGATGTTTAAAAATTGATACCTATTATGCTTTATATGGACTATTTATAGCTGCCAGCAATACAAATAATGACACAGAGGCTTTTTAATATTTTAAAGCTTAGGCAATTTAACTGGGCTGATTCTGAACACCTTTTTTCCCTAACACAAACCTAGCACAGTGTCCCAATGCATGGCCAGTTCTACCTCTTTGTTCATGTTCATGTTCATGTTCATCTGTTAACCTCACTGTCATGCTGGTGAGTGGCCTGTCATTTGCTTTCTTTTTCCCAGCAACCCTCTCTCACTCAGAAGTTCTGTCCTTCATTTTGTGCTCTGCTATCACTTATTAGCTCTTTCTTTTTTCCAATAAATAATTAAGGAAGGGCAAATGTTTACAAAATATTAGACAGGTGATCAGCCATAGAACTAACAAAATGATGCTTTCGTCATTACTTAGCTGATTGCTGGCTCAACAGTTAGCATTCACATATAATGGCATACTTTCTCACAGTATACACCATCATCAGTTAACTGTTTTTTCATCTTCGTTAGGAATTCTCACAAAATCACACTGCAAAAAATATAATTTTAGTTATATACAAATTATTCTTTTACTCAGAGTTATCTTTACATATTTAGTATGGCTCACAGTATGGGGAAAGTTATTAATCTATTCATTGTGTTAAAGCTCTGAGGTGTTACAGTTTTCTACAAATATGTGGTAAAACATCTCATAGAAGAAAGTATATGATAAATGTTAGCCAGGTAACAAATATTTTTATCATCACAGGTATTTTCAAATATGCAAAACAACCCGTAGAGAAGGAGAACACCGTAAATATAAAAATAATGATGAAAACTCAAAATGTAATTCTTCTTTACCTTTAATTCAAATTGCAAAATTAAGTCATGTGGCAAAAACATCCATTAGTGTAATGAATGTGGAAAAGCTGTCATATGTGCCAATTATCTTTGCAGGTATGAAAACAATCATAGTGAAGACAAACTCCCTGAAGATACTCAATATGAAGTCTTTGCACATCACAGTAGTCCGCACACATGTAAAAGTATGCATACTGGTGCAGATCACTATGAATGTAGTCAATATGGTAATGCCTTTGCACATAAAAGTCATGTCCTAAGACTCAAAAGGATACATAGAGTAGAGAGTCCTCATGAATGTAACAGTGATCTCCTAAGACATAAAGGAACTCAAACAGGAGAAAAACTTTATGAATGTAACCAATGTGGTAAAGCCTTGGCATATAACAGTGATCTCCAAAATCATAAAAGAACTCACACTGGAGAGAAACCTTATGAATGTATCCAATGTGGTAAAGCCTTTACAAAGAAGAGTAGTCTCCTAGTACATAAAAGAACTCACACTGGAGAAAAACCTTATGAATGTATCCAATGTGGTAAAGCCTTTGCATGTAATAGTGATCTCCAAAAATATAAAAGAATTCACACTGGAGAGAAACCTTATGGATGTAACCAATGTGGTAAAGCTTTTGCACAGAACAGTCATCTCCTAATACATAAAAGAACTCACACTGGAGAGAAACCTTATGAATGTAACCAATGTGGTAAAGCCTTTGCAGAGAACAGTAGTCTCCTAGTACATAAAAGAACTCACACTGGAGAAAAAACTTATGAATGTATCCAATGTGGTAAAGCCTTTGCAAAGAGCAGTCATCTCCTAATACATAATAAAACTCACACTGGAGAGAAACCTTATGAATGTAACCACTGTGGTAAAGCCTTTGCATGTAACAGTAGTCTCCAAAAACACAAAAGAATTCACACTGGAGAGAAACCTTATGAATGTAACAACTGTGGTATAGCCTTTTCACAGAACAGTCATCTCCTCATACATAAAAGAGCTCACAATGGAGAGAAACCTTATGAATGTAACCAATGTGGTAAAGCCTTTGCAAGTAACAGCAGTCTCATAGTTCATAAAAGAACTCACACTGGAGAGAAACCTTATGAATGTAACCAATGTGGTAAAGCCTTTGCAAATAACAGCAGTCTCTTAGTTCATAAAAGAACTCACACTGGAGAGAAACCTTATGAATGTAACCAATGTGGTAAAGCCTTTGCACAGAACAGTAGTCTCCTAGTACATAAAAGAACTTACACTGGAGAAAAAACTTATGAATGTATCCAATGTGGTAAAGCTTTTGCAAAGAGCAGTCATCTCCTAATACATAATAAAACTCACACTGGAGAGAAACCTTATGAATGTAACCACTGTGGTAAAGCCTTTGCATGTAACAGTAGTCTCCAAAAACACAAAAGAATTCACACTGGAGAGAAACCTTATGAATGTAACAACTGTGGTATAGCCTTTTCACAGAACAGTCATGTCCTCATACATAAAAGAACTCACAATGGAGAGAAACCTTATGAATGTAACCAATGTGGTAAAGCCTTTGCAAGTAACAGCAGTCTCATAGTTCATAAAAGAACTCACACTGGAGAGAAACCTTATGAATGTAACCAATGTGGTAAAGCCTTTGCAAGTAACAGCAGTCTCGTAGTTCATAAAAGAACTCACACTGGAGAGAAACCTTATGAATGTATCCAATGTGGTAAAGCCTTTTTACAGAACAGTCATCTCCTAGTTCATAAAAGAACTCACACTGGAGAGAAACCTTATGAATGAATCCAATGTGGTAAAGCCTTTTTACAGAACAGTCATCTAATACATAAAAGAACTCACACTGGTGAGAAAACTTATGAATGTAACCAATGTGGTAAAATCTTTGCATGAAACAGTAATCTTTTAATACATAAACAAACTCACACTGGAGAAAATCCTTATGAATGTAACCAATGTGGAAAAGCCTTTGCAGATAATAGTGTTCTCCTAAGACATAAAATTTTTTCTTGCAGAAAATTCTTATGAATATAACTAATGTCATGGAATCTTTTTATATAAGACTTATCTTGAACAAGAACCCTTATTGAAGTGAAACCCTATGAATATAACCAATGTGACAAAAACTTTGCATACCATAAAAATCTTTGTGTATATAGAAGAAGCACACTGGATAGAAACTTTATGAATGTAACCAATGTGATAAAGCATTTTAACATAGTAATAATCTCCTATGACATAAAGAAGGCATATGAATGTAACTAAGGTGGTAAATCCATTGCATTTAACAGTAGTCTCCTAATACAAAGATAAGCTCACACTGGAGAGAACTCTTATGGATGTAATGAACTTGTTAAAGCCTTTGCATGTAACAGTCATCTCCTAGTATATAAAAGGTCTCACACTTGAGAGAAACCTTATTAATGTAATCTATGTGGTAAAGCATTTTCACATAACAGTCATCTCCTAATAAAAACTTACTATTCACAATCATCTTCTACGTCATTAATGAATTCATACTGGAACGAAAGACTTTGAGTGTATTTACATGGTGAAGCTACTCCACATTTGTATAATCTTCGTCATCATGAAAGAATTCATACAGAGAAAAACTTTATGAATGTGTTAAAATGGGAGACCTTTGCACATATCTATATTCTACATCAGCATAAAAGTTTCAAAATGGAGAGATAATTTGAGAATATAATCAATATGGTAAGGCTTTTGTGTTCTTCTGTCCACTGAATCCAATACAACTCAAACAGGTCAATACAGATGAAAAAAATTATTTTCATCCCGTTTGATTAGGGACACATAATGTTGAACTGTGATGCCTACCCATCCAATGAGCCAGAAAGTTACAGAGGATCTGAACTTGAAAATCATAAACATCTTTACTGTTTTACAACTGAATTATTTCCATCAGTCATGGTTTAGGGATGTGGGATTTGTTTACTACATTGAGGAAGTCACCTGATGCAAAATGTAGGTTTTACAGTCAAAACAATCATATCCATTTGTTCTTTTGTGGTTAGAAAAAGGTATTATGTTTTAGGAAAGAGAATCTGTGGTTTGGGTCAGTCATTATGTTAGGGGACCAGAAATCATGGTATGTAACAGTCATGTTTTGGGCAACAAAAGTTAAGTAATTAAAGCCGGTCAGCTATTGGGAAGGCTACAGCTTTCCTAGGGACTATGAACTTAAACTTATGTTCACCCTATAAATCAATGAAGGCTGGTAGCAAAAAGGAAATACTTAGGACATATTGCTTTTGCATGTTCCCACATACAATTTGCTTTTACATGTTTTGCATATAAAAGTAATCTTCAAATATACAAATGGTCAGATAGTAGAGAGAAACCTGACACATGTCTTCAATGTGATAAAGCCTTTTCTTAATACAGTTATCTCCAAATACATTAAAGTATACACACTGCAGTGAAAACCTCTGAATAAGCAATGTGGTAAATCCTTTTCATAGGATTTTCTTTGAAATCATGTGAAAAAGTCATGTTGCAGAGAAACCCCATGAATGTATTCAGTGTGGTAAAGTTTTCTGCTTCATGCTACCATTATATAAGAGCAAAAGGTTTACTGTGTGGGATACATCTTTAAACCTTTGCCTATCACAGTAGTCTTTGAGAACCTAAAAGAACTCATTCTGTAGAACATCTGTTAGAATAAAAGATTTGTTAAGGTCTTTGACCCACCAACTTGCATTCAATTACACTAGATTAGTTTGGAGGAAAATTCTAACAAGTGTCAACAATGTATGCATGTGTTTGTGACATCCATTCTTATTTTGTTTCCAATTGAAATCTCATGGACCAAAGGCATATGAATTGAAACAATAAGATAATCCATTTTTATTACACAATCCACTTCAATTACATGAAATAAATCATCCAGTTGTAAAATTTATGTGTGCATATTAGTGCATTTTCTGTGACCAAACACAGTGTCTAAGGCAACTTTCCAATGTGTTTACTTTGCCTTATGATTGGAGAGGATATGGGATCACTATAAATTGGGCAAGACAAGTGTCGTACGTGTCTGCAAAAGTAGGAAGCTTGGAGCTCACAACATCCACCTCCAGCATGAAGCAGAGAGTGGTAACTATAGACGGTATGCAGCTGAAAACTATCAAGCCCACCCCAAGTAACATACTTTCTCCAGCAGGGATACAAAATTGAAAAGGATTCATTTCTCGATTTCAAACCTACATGTTTCGTTTCTGTTACATGAAGGAATTCATGATGACGACAACATTTGTAAATAACCTATAGTTGCCTCAACACCTGAATTCAGTAATGAATGCTTATACAAGTAAAACATTCATGAGTAAACATATATTTAAGAATTTGCTTTAATTTCCCTTATGTGATAACAGTTTGTCTTTGTGTTTATGTGCCTGTCCATTCTAGTTTCCAAGTAGACTAGACCCACTGATTTTCTCATATCGGGAATCATAGAAAGTTGACAAAAACCTGACCTAGGTCCTGGGAATGAACTTGTCTTAACTGCAAAACCATGTATCTAGTACTGTAAATATCTTAAATCTTAATATATCATCTTGATGTCAGGAAGTAGAAAAGCATTCATAGAAGAGAGCAATCTTATTTATGCAAAAGAGTTTATTACTTTTAACATAATAAATGTATTCATTTCCAAGAAAAGAAACTATTTTAAATCTGTTTTTTATCACAGCCTCGGAGGAAGTAACTATTTACCATGTTCACTTCATTGTAATGGAGGAGATCACCAATTGTGGTTGTGGTCTGTATTTTGAAACATTGGAGTAGGTATTGAATTTGTTGTGTGTGTAGCAAATCCATTCACAGAAGTTTATTAGGTTCTGATATTCCTTCTGTGGCAGATGTTCATATTTTAATGCATTTACATTTGGTGAGGGTTATTGTTCTGCTGCAATGTATAGAATGGAATCCCCATCCTCTATGTGGTCCATTGCTTATTTATATCAGGCCATGTGAGATCATAGTTTTCAAGGAAGGGTCTATGAGAACTTGTACTTTTTTTATGTTTTCACAAATTCATTTAAGATGTTTATTTTTAAGCCTTGCTTGGATATCAACAATTAAGTGATGCTTAATAATATGTGTATACATATATATGTATATATTGTTTGAAGTTTCATGCTTCTAAATGTTACCATATTTACTATATGGCACATCATCTTGAAATATTGCCTTCTTAGAGATTTATCTAGAGGTGATAGTTAATGTAACAACAATGAGATTTATTTCAAAAACCCATGTGTGTGTAATGGACACACATTCATTCTTAGGCTATTACAGATATATGAAGAGTATGTGATAATTTATAGGGTCTATGTTGGTCATGGTTATATGATCTTCAAGGTTATGTTGTCAGTTTTGCATACCACAATCTCTTCCCACTGAGCTCATTGAGATGCATAAAATTTAGTTGAAACATTACATCAGTACAATATTGTCTTTTATTCAGAGTATGATTATATTGTCATCTGAGGATGGAAGAAAATGAAATGATGTGAATAATAAATGCTACTTGCAAATGAAAATTATACACTCCTGTCTTGTTTTGGAATGTGGTAGTTCTTTCTTAGGAGTAAAGACTTGTTCTTAAGACTTTCTTAAAACTACATGGCATCTTCAGAACCGAGCCATCCAGAGGCAAACAGTCCTGAACAATGCAGCATAATAGAAAATCAAGAAGATGACCTTACATCTATGTTGATGAAGAGGATAATAGAGGAAACAAATAAAATACGTAAAGAATTAGAGGAAGATAAAACCAAACAGATCATGGCTATCCGTAAAGAAATGGAGGAAGATAAAGACAAGAAGATTAGGGCCATCCATTAAGAAATATGGGAAGATGCAGCCAAACAGCTTGTGGCCTTCAGAGACGAAATAATTAAATCACTGAAAGAAATAAAAGAGACAGAGTTGAAGGAACCCAAGAAAATTAGCTTCTGTCAAGAAAACACAGGAAATAATTAACCTTACTACAGCAAAACAAAAAGCAACCAAGCACACAACCTTATGAACACAGCCAACATCAATATCAAAGGATCTAACAGCCACTGATCATTAATCTCTCTCAACATCAATGGACTAAACTCTCCAGTAAAAAGACACAGATTAACAGAATGGATATGTAAACAAAACCCAGCAATCTGTTGCATACAAGAAACACACCTAAGGCACAAAGATAGACATTACCTGAGGGTAAAAGGTTGGAAGACGACTTTCCAAGCAAATGGACCCAGGAAACAAGCAGGAGTAGCCATTCTAATATCTGATAAAATAGACTTTCAACCAAAATTAATAAAAAGAGATGAGGAAGGACACTTCATACTCATCAAGGGAAAATTCCACCAGGAAGACATCACAATCCTGAACATCTATGCCCCAAATACAAGAGCACCCACATTTGTAAAAGAAACATTGATAAAATTTAAACCACATATAGATCCCCACACATTAATAGTGGGAGACTTCAACACCCCACTCTCAACAAAGGACAGGTCAACAAAACAGAAATTAAACAAAGAAACAATATCTCTGACAGAGGTCATGAATCAAATGGACCTCACAGACATCTACAGAACTTTACACCCAAACACAAAAGAATTTACCTTCTTCTCAGCACCTCATGGAACCTTCTCCAAAATAGACCATATAGTTGGTCACAAAGCAAGCCTCAAAAGATACAAGAAGACTGAAATAATCCCTTGTATCCTGTCTGATCACCATGGACTAAAGCTGGACTTCAACAACAACAGAAATAGCAAAAAGCCTACACACACAAGGAAAGTAAACAACTTGTTACTAAATGACAGCTGGGTCAGGGAAGAAATAAAGAAATTAAAGCCTTTCTAGAAATCAAT